AATAAACTTATTTTTGTTACTTTTACAATAAGGTTTCTTTAGTTAGTGTATTTATTTAGTCGCATCAACTTAAAATAAGCAAAACTTGTGCATTATTTATTAATAGTTCAACATTTACTAATTCATTATTAAAATACAAATGAATATTATGCACAGTGAGTTATCATGAACTAATAATGAACATGTTAGTGATTACAATAACTAATTCAACCTTATATACACACACTCGCCGGCCACTTTATCAGGTACACCTTACTAGTACCAGGTTGTTCCCCCTTTTGCCTTAATCCTTGGTGGCAGAGATTCAGCAAGCTGCTGGAAATATTCCTCAGAGATTTTGCTCCATATTGTCATGAGAGCATCACACAGTTGCTGCGGATTTGTCGGCTGCACATCCATGATGCCAATCTCCCGTTCCACCACATCCCTAAGCTGCTCTATTGGATTGAGCTCTGGTGACTGTGGAGGCCATTTGAGTACAGTGAACTCATCGTCATGTTCAAGACACCAGTCTGAGATGATTGAGCTTTATGACATGCTGCGTTATCCTGCTGGAAGTAGCCATCAGAAGATGGAGACACTGTGCTCATAAAGGGATGGAAATGGTCAGCAGCAATACTCAGGTAGGCTGTGGCGTTGATGCTCAATTGGTACTAATGGACCCAAAGAAAATCTCCCCCACACCATTACACCACCACCACCAGCCTGAACCGCTGATACAAGGCAGGATAATCCATGCTTTCATGTTGTTGAGGCCAAATTGTGAGCCGAGCATCTGAATGTGTCAGCAGAAATGGAGACTCATCAGAGCAGCAACGTTTCTCCAATCTTCTATTGTCCAGTTTTGGTGAGTCTGTGTGAATTGTAGCCTCAGTTTCCTGTTCTTAGCTGACAGGAGCGGCACCCGGTGTGCTCTTCTGCTGCTGTAGCTCATCCGCCTCAAGGTTGGCCGTGTTGTGTGTTCAGAGATGCTCTTCTGCAGAGCTCGGTTGTAGCGAGTGCTTATTTGAGTTACTGTTGCCTTTCTATCAGCTGGAACCAGTCTGGCCATTCTCCTCTGACCTCATCAACAAGGCATTTGCGCCCACAGAACTGCCGCTCACTGGATATTTCCTCTTTGTCATAGCATTCTCTGTAAATCCTAGAGATGGTTGTGCGTGAAAATCCCAGTAGATCAGCAGTTTCTGAAATACTCAGAGCAGCCCGTCTGGCAGCAACAACCATGCCACATTCAAAGTCTCTTAAATCCCCTTTCTTCCCCATTCTGATGCTCACTTTGACCTGCAGCAGATCCTCTTGACCATGTCTACATGCCTAAATGCAGTGAGCTGCTGCCATGTGATTGGCTGATTCCAAATTTGCATTAACAAGCAGTTGGACAGGTGTACCTAATAAAGTGGCCGGTAAGTGTACATTCACATCATATTTATTATAAAGTAGCTAGGTACTCTTCCTCTCCTCTATAAGTAAGTTGATTAGACAGCAGGTCATGGTTTATGATGTGAAGTCTACATGTATTGACAGGAGTTTAAAACTAAAGTGAACAACAGATGATGAAACATTACAGTGAACTCTCAACCCTTCTGGCTCCTGAGCTGCGGAGCTGTGATCTCCTGCTTTATCCACTGCTGGTTATTATTTGAGCTCTCTCTGATCGCCTCACACTGAGATGTGTTTCAGCAGCTCATGTGTCTGTTTCTTTTGCTCTCTATGTTGAATGATTGTTTGGGTGTCTTCTGATGTCACACACACACACACACACACACACACACACACACACACAGTTGTCCTCAGACAATAGTGTCTCTCACACACGCCTCCATGTAGCACCATGAGCGAGCTCTGCGTCACAGTGCAGCGTGACCCACTCCGTCAAAGACCTATAGTGTCCACACCACACACACACACACACACACACACACCACAGTGTCCAAAACACAACTACACATACTACACACTCCACAGTATCCACTACAGACAATCAGACACACACACACACACACACACACACACACAACTATACACAAACCACAGTGTCCACAGCAACACAGACACAGTAAACACACATTTAGTCCACTACACCACACACACCACTACACACACATAGTGTCCACAACACCACTACACACAAACCACGTTGTCCAGAACACCAACACACACACACACACACACACACACACACACACACACTGTTCCCAACACCACTACACACAGTACACACACATCACAGTGTCCACAACACAACACCACTACGCACAAACCACTGTGTCCCGAACATTACCACACACACACACACACACACATACACACACACACACTGTTCCCAACACCACTAGACACAGTGCACACACATTCGGTTCTCTACACCACACACACACACACACACACACATCACAGTGTCCACAACACCACTACACACAAACCACGGTGTCCAGAACCCCACCACGCACACACACACACACACACATACACACACACACATACACACGCAATACAGTGTTCGCAACACTACTACAAAAACTGCAAGGCCTGTTGTACCAATGCTGTTGCTGTGTGTGTTTGTGTGTGCGTGCGTGCGTGCGTGCCTGCGTGTGTGTGTGTGGGTCAGGAGCCGTTTGAGGAGGGTTTCCCCACCGCTGAGGAGCTGACGGCCGCTGAGATCCTCACACCTAAAGACCTGTCCGACTCTAAAGGAGGAACGGTCAAATTCGGCTGGGTTAAAGGAGTGCTGGTCAGTCTGAGCCAAACACACACACACACACACACACACACACACACACACACAAACACTAGTCAGGGCCATGCATGCACAGATCTGTTAAGAGGCATGTGCTGAAACTGAATTAAAGGATCTGTGAGTTTATGACCAGCAAATGTGCTCTGTCCATCATTAAAACAGCAGCAGGCTGCACGGTGGCGCAGTGGGTAGCCTCACAGCAAGAAGGTTGCTGGTTTGAGCCTCGGCTATGTCAGTTGGCATATCAGTTGACATACTGTAGGGGAATTGTGTAAGCTAAATTGTTCATAGTGTATGTGTGTGAATGAGTGTGTATGGGTGTTTCCCAGTGATGGGTTGCAGCTGGAAGGCCATCCGCTGTGTAAAACATATGCTGGATAAGTTGGCGGTTCATTCCACTGTGGTGACCCACAGAACAATAAAGGGACTCAGCTGACAAGGAAATAAATGAATGAATAAAATAGCAGCAGCACATTATATTGTCTTTCCTATATACAGTCTTACTTCCTTTTATTTCTCTACACAGTGTGTTGTAGCTACAGTCTTTGTGATTTTTTTGATCAAGTGATGTCTTACAGAGTCAGCAGTTTCTCACAGTATCTCCTCTAATAATCCATAATAATCTATGAAATGATGTGTCCAGATACGATGCATGCTGAACATCTGGGGGGTGATGCTCTTCATCCGCATGTCATGGATTGTGGGTCAAGCCGGCATCGGTATGTTACACATGCGCACACACCACTACACAACAGACACCAATACACATCAATACACAAAATACAACATGCACACACACACACACCATTGCAGCACACATTACACACTCCACAAGACAATACATGTCCATAACACAACTAGACATACCCACTACACACAGCACCACTGCACAACACACACACACACACACACACACACACACCACATGTATGTTGTGTATGTTTTCTAACTAAGGGTGCGTTTCCCAAAACCACCGTTAGCCAACTAAGGTTGTAAGTTGCGTCATTATAAGCATAGTTTGTTGATTTGCCGCATCCCAAATACGTCGTTCCAACGAACATTCGCAAACTGCATCGCAAACTTGAGCACTCGCAACTACACCTCTGGAGCTATAGTTAGAAACACAGTTCCTGGCTGTGTGCTGTTCCCACTTATCCCCCCTATGCCCTATTCATGTAGAACATTCTAACATTTAAAGTTGGAATTATTAATAATATTGCATTAAGCTCGTCTCTCTCAGCTGTAATTTGCTTTCAAACTATTTCTCTTCTTCTTCATTCTTTTATATCACATTTTACCTGTGTTTATGTTTTGTTTTGTTTTTTTACGCATTTTTATTATTTGTTTTTATTTTTATTTTACTTGTTTCTTTTATTCTTGTTTATGTAAAGCACTTTGAATTGCCATTGTGTATGACATGTGCTATATAAATAAACTTGCCTTGCCTATTTCTACAGTTCAGTTTTAGCGATCTTCATGTTAACTATTGTGTTCCCTTCACAGTGCACTTTAAACACACTGATGTCGTTTTGAACAGTTGTGGCTCATGACAAAAGCTGTAGGTGACCAATTATTTAAAAGCGGAACTTACGTTTCGTCTACAAAGCTTGTGAAAACAAACACACAGCATACGCTAATGCTTTAAAGTATAGTGGGTTATTTATCAAGTATCTGTACTGGATATGACACAAGCCTGCTGGCTAGAACATTTCTGCAGTGATTTACATGTGTCAATAATAATACAGTTTTTCTTGTTTGCTTTGACCTGGTTAAAGAAACTCACTTCATTTTCATGATCACTATCCCAGCAGAGCAGAAGACCGTTCTTGCAAATGTTTCAACACTTTCTCATTGGGTTGGCACATTTCCCCACCATTTTTCAAAACAATTAACACGGATGTCATTCAAGCAGTCCAAACTCTATTGTTTTAGCTATAGTAACCAAACAGAAACCATCTATTCCTAACCACTGGAAACTACTAAGATCAGTGTGAATTCACTGAAGCACCGGTTTGACACTCCTTCACACAAATCTTCAATTAGCAATCAGTCTGCAAACATTAAAAGCGGTGGAAGGTATGAGCTCTGTGCCAGCATGGATGGAGGAGGTCAATAGTGGCTATTTTCCTATACCCCCAATAGATCTGACTGTATTTTGGTTTACATGTGTTTTCTGTATTATTTACAGTATTTTAATACGTTTGTCTGTTTTATATATATATATATATATATATATATATATATATATATATATATATATATA